CTGAAACGTTCCGGTCTTAGACGCTCTGGTCTGAGACGTTCCGGTCTGAAGCGTTCCGGTCTCAAACGTTCCGGTCTCAAACGTTCCGGTCTGAAACGTTCCGGTCTGAAGAGTTCCGGTCTGAAACGTTCCGGTCTTAGACGCTCTGGTCTGAGACGTTCCGGTCTGAAGAGTTCCGGTCTGAAACGTTCCGGTCTTAGACGCTCTGGTCTGAGACGTTCCGGTCTGAAGCGTTCCGGTCTCAAACGTTCCGGTCTCAAACGTTCCGGTCTGAAACGTTCCGGTCTGAAGAGTTCCGGTCTGAAACGTTCCGGTCTTAGACGCTCTGGTCTGAGACGTTCCGGTCTGAAGAGTTCCGGTCTGAAACGTTCCGGTCTTAGACGCTCTGGTCTGAGACGTTCCGGTCTGAAGCGTTCCGGTCTGAAACGTTCCGGTCTCAAACGTTCCGGTCTCAAACGTTCCGGTCTCAAACGTTCCGGTCTGAAACGTTCCGGTCTGAAGAGTTCCGGTCTGAAACGTTCCGGTCTGAAACGTTCCGGTCTTAGACGCTCTGGTCTGAGACGTTCCGGTCTGAAGCGTTCCGGTCTCAAACGTTCCGGTCTCAAACGTTCCGGTCTGAAACGTTCCGGTCTGAAGCGTTCCGGTCTGAAACGTTCCGGTCTGAAACGTTCCGGTCTGAAACGTTCCGGTCTGAAGAGTTCCGGTCTGAAACGTTCCGGTCTCAAGCGTTCCGGTCTCAAGCGTTCCGGTCTGAAACGCTCCGGTCTGAAGCGTTCCGGTCTGAAACGTTCCGGTCTGAAACGTTCCGGTCTCAAACGTTCCGGTCTGAAACGCTCCGGTCTGAAACGCTCCGGTCTGAAGCGTTCCGGTCTGAAACGTTCCGGTCTGAAACGCTCCGGTCTGAGACGCTCCGGTCTGAAACGTTCCGGTCTGAAACGTTCCGGTCTGAAACGTTCCGGTCTGAAACGCTCCGGTCTGAAACGCTCCGGTCTGAAACGCTCCGGTCTGAAGCGTTCCGGTCTGAAACGCTCCGGTCTCAAACGTTCCGGTCTGAAACGCTCCGGTCTGAAGCGTTCCGGTCTGAAACGTTCCGGTCTGAAACGCTCCGGTCTGAAACGTTCCGGTCTGAAGCGTTCCGGTCTGAAACGTTCCGGTCTGAAACGCTCCGGTCTGAAACGCTCCGGTCTGAAACGCTCCGGTCTGAAGCGTTCCGGTCTGAAACGCTCCGGTCTGAAACGCTCCGGTCTGAAACGCTCCGGTCTGAAGCGTTCCGGTCTGAAACGTTCCGGTCTGAAACGCTCCGGTCTGAAACGTTCCGGTCTGAAGCGTTCCGGTCTGAAACGCTCCGGTCTGAAGCGTTCCGGTCTGAAACGCTCCGGTCTGAAACGTTCCGGTCTGAAGCGTTCCGGTCTGAAACGCTCCGGTCTGAAGCGTTCCGGTCTGAAACGCTCCGGTCTTGGCCATACTTCCCCGCCGCGGCGCTAACGCGGCGAGCTAACACCAGGTTGATGTTTCCATGGCGCTGCAGAGCATCAGGAACCAGTTTGAGCTGGAATGCTGCTGAACTTCTCGGCCCGGGGCGACGCAGAGCCAGGCTTTGATGAAGACGCCGATGCTTCGTCTCCTGTGAAGATTCCCAGATCCGTCACGCATCCCTCCTGTCGGGCAGAACCGGTTCTGGTTCAGAAACTGGGCCTAATCTGGGCTGGATCTGCATTTTATGAAGGCAAACATGAGAAACGAGGCCGAACTACAGCTGAAACTATTCATCGGTTTAATCATAATTAATCGATCATTTCAATAATTGTCAGCTTATTTAGTAATTGATTAATCACTGAGTGGCTCTAAAAGCAATTTTCTGTAAAATACAACATATTCACAGTAAAATTAAGCCAAAACTCACAATATATAGATATGTTTTACATTTAATTTAAAAACATCCTGAAGCCTCAGTCAGGGTAAAGGTCAGGGTCAGACTTTAGGCAGTAACATTTTTATTTTCTTATTTTAAAATGTATTAATTGAATTATTGTTTATTCATTCCACCTTTAATGAATAAATGCTAATTTATTGCCAGTTGGTCAGAACAAGTTTGTATATAATTCCTGGTCTTAAAAAGTCTTAAATTGGAGTTAAACCTGCTCTCTCAGCTCTAACCTGTTTTTAAGGCTAGAATCAGTTTATTGTTGCGTTTATCAGCATCGATAAAATAAAATGGATGAAACTTTCTCTGCTCTGATTGGCTGCTGCTGAGAGACAGGAAGTCAGGTTGTTATTGTGTCTCCCTGCATTCCTTCAGCTCTAACACACTCTGCACCTGTTCATGTCTGTCTGCAGCACACACACACAGAGACACACACACACAGAGACACACACACACACAGAGACACACACACACAGAGACACACACACACACAGAGACACACACACAGAGACACACACACACACAGAGACACACACACACAGAGACACACACACACAGAGACACACACACACACAGAGACACACACACACACAGAGACACACACACACACACAGAGACACACACACAGAGACACACACACACAGAGACACACACACACAGAGACACACACACACAGAGACACACACACACAGAGACACACACACACACAGAGACACACACACACAGCCTTTCCTCACCAGGCTGACAACACATTCAGTGGGAAAATATGTCTGCAACGCATGAGAGCGGCTCTAAATGTTTTGGGCGGGATCGGGCCTCGGCCCTGTGTGTGTGTGGCGGGTTCGGGTCGGGGAATGTGGTTTTATGATCAGAGTCGGGTTCTCAGAGGAAGTCAGAGTTCATCCCTGATGAAATCTGCAGACGCTGAGTGGAATCAGAGGCTTTGCTGCAAGGTGCATTTCAGGAAGGAAGTGGCGACTCGCAGCTGCCGCGGCGGCGAGGGACCCGGTCCAACGGAGGTCTAGTCAAAGCCTCCGGTTGGACTGGACCTCCATCGTGTCCATTACAACATTTTTCTTCAGTAAATGGAAACTCATGCTGAGCAACGCTGACTGGGTCCATAATTCAGATTTATGTTCAAATATGGGGTCAGAACACAAATATAGTCAATAAGTAAGGTGGTGGCAGCGTCATGCTCTGGGCTGCATGACCAGCTGTGGTGCCACTGCAGCAGGAGCTTAAGAAATATAAACGATTTTAGGAATCTATTTTTTTACATTTTAATTCATCAAAATGATAAATTATTTTTAATCAGTAATAATTAATGATCCTGATTCTGTTAATAACACGGATTATTATTGATTTTTTGTCTGAAAAGTTGCTGATCTTTAGACCTGATTGGTTTATTTGGTTTCTAATCAATAATTTGGTAATTGATTAATCGTTAGCAGATTTTACTATCTATTTATAAACCACTTATTGCAAAACTTAATCTGTAAATGACATTATGAAAGGCATGCTGTGTTGTTGGATTTTAGGTTCATTTTCTTGTTTGAAAAGTGAATTTAATTTATTTAATTTAATGTGTTTTCCTGGAGAGCCTGCAGGATGAACAGACTTTTTGAATAATCCATATTTGTGGTTAAATTCAGCAGCGAACTGCCAGGCTGGCAGCATTGAGGTGAGAAAACGTTGGAGACGTTCGGACAGATAGCAGGACGGAAACATTTATTTTCTTCTCAAATCAAAGAAAAGGGCCATGAGGTTTGTGTTTGACCAAAATGACCCAAAAGGCTTTTTCTGTTTTCAATGCTTCCCTCGCTGACGGTGGGAAGTGTTTCTGGTTTCATCTCCACATGAACACATCTGTCTCCCATTCATATGCAAATCCAAACGCAGCGTCTGATGTTTTCATGGAGACCGAAGGTGGATCTGCAGAGAGTTTTCTATTTTTCATCAGGAAGGAGGAGCGAGCAGCGTTCCTCCAGCAGCTGTTCCACAGTTTACGTCACGGAGCGCCAGGCGGCGTCACGGCTCGCCGCTCGCACGCTATGCACATGCTCAGAGCGGCGACCCCCTGCAGAGAGCGTGACCCCGCCTGAGACGCTTCGCTGTGTCTCTGCTTGCAGGAATCCAGCATTTAGAACCATGTGAAATCAGAAACAGTTGAATTTGGTGCAGCTATATTATCGATTTTTTGCATTTTTCTCTGTTTTTTTTTTTTCTAGACGTTTAAAGTCAGTTTTATCAGGTTAAGAGGCATGTTACCTTCCTGAACCTGCAGACTGGAAGACAAAGCCTCACAGAAAACAAGATGCTGCTTTAAAGAACTTTAATGTCACTTACATTTAAATTTAGATAATAATTCATCAGAACTCACCAGTAAAACCAGGTTACTTTACACAACATAAATGTTACTTACAAGATGCTTTCCTGAACAAACTGTGGTTTTATACTTGTTACCTACTGGAGCTAAAATGTTGCTTTCTAGAACATTTATGTTACTTCCTGTAACCATAACGTTACTTCCTGTAAACATAACGTTACTTCCTGTAAACATAACGTTACTTCCTGTAACCATAACATTACTTCCTGTAACCATAACGTTACTTCCTGTAACCATAACATTACTTCCTGTAACCATAACGTTACTTCCTGTAACCATAACGTTACTTCCTGTAACCATAACGTTACTTCCTGTAACCATAACGTTACTTCCTGTAACCATAACGTTACTTCCTGTAACCATAACGTTACTTCCTGTAACCATAACGTTACTTCCTGTAACCATAACGTTACTTCCTGCTCTCTGTTCTTAAAGGTTGCTTACTGTGCATCCAGTCAAGTTCGTCTTCACCAAACTGACAGAATCATTTATTCTCCTGTTTTCCACCCAGATGTGTTCTAATTCTCTGGATTAAATCTGTCTTGATCTCTTCGCTCGTATTAAAAAGAAAAGACAAATCAAAGGGACAGTTTTGCATCTTTATTCTGTGTTCCGTTATGAGTAAAAGGTTTGAGGTATTTCTGATGTTTGTGTGAAACTGCTGCTGATTTCAGTTTGTTATTTTTGCAGGTTTACGCTCCGTCTGCCAGCACAGCCGACTACAACCGGGACTCACCTGGTTACCCGTCCTCCAAGCCTCCCAGCACCGGCTTCCCCAGCTCCTTCTTCATGCCAGGTGAGTCCAGCCCAACCTGCACACCTGAAAAAGATTCAACTGCACCGAAAGCTCGCCCTCGATTTACCCTGTTCTACAGTGTAAATATTTTTTGATGTGTTTGTAGCATGAGCTGCTTGGTTCAGAGTAACGTTTCCTGTTTGTCCGTCAGACGGCCACCACAGCGGCGACCCCTGGAGCAGCAGCAGCAGCATGAGCCAGCAGGGCTACCACAGCAGCATGCTGGGGGGCGGGAACTCGGCGCACGGCCCCGCCCAGAGCTCCTCCTACTGCGGGATCCACCCTCACGACCGACTGGTGAGCCGGGCCGCCGGCGGCGCCGAGGGGAGGCCGGGAGGCGCCGTTAACGTTTCCGTCTCTCCGCAGAGCTACCCGTCGCACTCCTCGTCCGCCGACATCAGCTCCAGCCTCCCGCCCATGTCCAGCTTCCACCGGGGCGGTGGCGGCGGGGGCGGAGCCAACCACTACAGCACCGCCTCCTGCACCGCCCCCACCAACGGCACAGACAGCGTCATGGGTGAGAAACCTGCTGCTTCCACATGCTGATATATGCCTGATGCTTTTATTTTGAAATCAGTGCTAAAGTGGAAGGGTTCTGGGGTTCTGGGGTCGTTCAAGACGCAGAGAAGCTGGAGGGGTCAGGAAAGGTCAAAGGTGAAATACGGCCCTGGGATAGAAACGTTTGGAAAGAAAATGATTCATCCAACCAAACATCCAACCAAACATCCACCATTTATCATCCATCTTCTCTCTCGTCTTTCTAAATGTTCAGCATCTGAATAATTAAACATGTCGTCAACAACATGCTTATTTACCAGCATGCATTGCTTCTGTCTCCTGTGTGTGTGTGTGTGTGTGTGTGTGTGTGTGTGTGTGTGTGTGTGTGTGTGTGTCTCACAGCTAACCGAGCACAGAGCGGCGCCGCCAGCAGCTCCCAAACCGGAGACGCCTTAGGAAAAGCTCTCGCCTCAGTGAGTACTGCGCCATTTCCCAGCGACTGTTGAGATGCTAACGAATGCTAATAGATGCTAGCGGATGCTAATAGGTGCTAGCAGATGCTAATAGCTGCTAGCGGATGCTAACTGATGCATCTCTGTGCAGATCTACTCTCCAGATCACACCAACAACAGCTTCTCGTCCAATCCCTCCACCCCGGTCGGCTCGCCGCCGTCACTCACAGGTAAACGCGGGTCAGAACCCGGGATGAGTCAGAACCCGGTCTGGGTCAGAACCCAATCTGGGTCAGAACCCGATCTGAGTCAGAACCCGGAATGAGGAACCAACATGGCTGTACAAACACAAACTATTGCCAAGAAGTTCTGGTCCAGGTTCTGGTCCAGGTTCTGGTCCAGGTTCTGGTCCAGGTTCTGGTCCACACATGTCAGGAATCAGACAGAACTAAGTGACAAACAGGAAATAATCAATAATTCCTTAATATTGATAAAAAATCTTGTATTAGTTTGTTTTTTCTGGTTTTAGGAGTTTATTCTCTTATTATTGCAACTTTATTTTTATAACTTTATGACTTTTAGTTTTTCAGGTGTTTTTGTAATATTCCGACTTTATTCTCATTAATAGTCGTAATATTTTAATCCTCTATTATTACTGCTTAATTATGAAGCATTTATTAGAAATGTATTATATTATTATGACTTTATTCTGGAAATATGGGTTTATTTTCATATAATTTCACATTTTCTTTGATTTTTTTCCTTTTTTTCTTTTAAAATGATTTGGTTGCACATTTTAAATCTAGTTTTACTCCCTATAAAATCAATATTTTAATGTCATTTTGTTTGTGGTTGAAGCTGGACGTTGATAAATGTATGAATTAATTCCCGTATTGATGTCGCGTCCTCTCCTCTCTGCGGCGCCTCCTTACAGTGAAAAATGACTTTTTCTAATAATAATTGAGTCAAATTTGTCTCTAATTGTCGGCGCTCTGCTCACCGTTTGATATTCCTCCGCCTCGCCTTGTGACTGATCGCTTTAATTACAGCATCTCTTCCTCAAACCGTTCGCAGACCTGCCGGCTCCGCAAACACCAGCCCTCTCCCTCTTCCTCCTCCTCGTCATCATCATTATAGCTGACTAGGATATTGCCTGCGAAACCATAATTGGTGTTTATCATTGTGTCAGAGTTACTCCACTTTTAACAAATTAGAAATGAAGCCTATTAGAGCAAACTACATGCAAATTGATATCCAAGGCGAATGCCGTGAGGATGTTTTACACCGTCGGACTCGGAATAATTTAGCCGCCGTTTAATACATATATTTGTATTTGCACATGAATGTACCCAGGTGATTATGCATTAATTAGCATATGCAAATGAGCATGCAATATGAATAAAGGAGAGAAAAGACAATGAAAAGGAGAAACACGTGCTAATGAGGAGGAATCAGAGGAACAGGGTGGAGATGGCAGCACAACGTGGGAGCAGAGGGAGAAAATTAGACTTTATGAATATCAGCAACATTCTGGTTTTAACCCGGCGCCGGAGAATAAAGCTTTAAAGTTCACCTCACATTGAAGAGACAAAAAACATTTTGGAGCAAAACAAGATCAGCACTGAAATGAATCCAGAAGCAACATGGACTGAAACGCCGCTCAGACAGGAAGAAGCCATCGGTTTTCAAATGCATCAGGCTAACAGTACGCTAACAAGAGCTAAGCTAGCACTTAGCAGCTAGCTGACTGATGCTACGATCACACAGCAGGCGAGTTTTTATCCCCGGTAACAGATGCGCTTCGTTGCACTTCATCTGTGGAAACAAGTCAGATCAGAAGGTTTTCAAAGTGCCTGCAGGATGAAGGTCACAGCGTTTCACCGACGTTCCTGACGTTCCTCACACCGACGTTCCTCACACCGACGTTCCTGACGTTCCTCACACCGACGTTCCTGACGTTCCTCACACCGACGTTCCTGACACTGACGTTCCTGACGTTCCTCAGACCGACGTTCCTGACGTTCCTCACGCCGACGTTCCTGACGTTCCTCACACCCACGTTCCTGACGTTCCTCACACCCACGTTCCTGACGTTCCTCACACCGACGTTCCTCACACTGACGTTCCTGACGTTCCTCACACCGACGTTCCTGACACAGACGTTCCTGACGTTCCTCACACCGACGTTCCTCACACCGACGTTCCTGACACAGACGTTCCTCACACTGACGTTCCTGACACAGACGTTCCTGACGTTCCTCACACTGACGTTCCTGACACAGACGTTCCTGACGTTCCTCACACCGACGTGAGAAACGCTCCATCGTCCTGCACCAGAATCCCACAAACATTTCCTGGAAAAAAACTTTTTCATATCAACATTAATGGAAAATTCAGATTTTCAAATATAAATTTTCTCGACTTTTCAGGCTGAAAAACAGAAAAAATATTTTTGTCTTTTTTCTAGAAAATTTCTGCAATTGATCTCAAAATTTCTGATATTTTTGGAAGAAATTTTATTCTTTTTTTCCGTCTGTGATCCGAGCCGGCAGAACCAAAAGTGGCTTTACTCGGCTTTATTCACCCAAAGCGTCGCTTGGAGTGTTAGTGATGCGATCAGGACGGGTCGGCCGGGTCCGTTCTGTCCGGGTCCGTTCTGTCCGGGTCAGTTCTGTCCGGGTCCGTTCTGTCCGGGTCCGTTCTGTCCGGGTCAGTTCTGTCCGGGTCCGTTCTGTCCGGGTCCGTTCTGTCCGGGTCAGTTCTGTCCGGGTCAGTTCTGTCCGGGTCCGTTCTGTCCAGGTCCGTTCTTTTTCAGGGTCCGTTCTGTCCGGGTCAGTTCTGTCCAGGTCCGTTCTGTCCGGGTCCGTTCTGTCTGGGTCAGTTCTGTCCGGGTCCGTTCTGTCCGGGTCAGTTCTGTCCGGGTCCGTTCTGTCCGGGTCCGTTCTGTACGGGTCCGTTCTGTCCCGGTGGGAGCGACGAGAAACGTTGGGCGCAACGAGAGCGTGGATCGGGTTTGGTTCCGCTCCAGGCGGAGCGTCTGCAGGTCGCAGCAGAGTAACGTTTTCAGGGACAAGAAGCGTCCCGTCAGGTCCGTCCTGATGATGTAATCAGGAACCATGTGATGATGTCATCTGGTACAAATGATGATGTCTTCCGGAACCATGTGATGATGTCATCCGGAACCATGTGATGATGTCATCCTGTCCGCTCTGTTGCAGCTGCCAGTTCAGCCGTCTGGTCGAGGAACGGAGGTCAGGGAGCGTCGTCGCCGAACTACGAGGCTCCGCTGCATTCGCTGGTAAGAAACCAACTGATTCTAGTTTTCCTTTTGGTTCTTCTTCAGTTTTTATTCACAAGAACAATTTTACTTTTGTTTCAGAAAAATTAGAAGAAAGTTCTAAATTTTAAAATTCAAGTTTTGAAATTTTGAAATTAAAGATTCTTGAGAAAAAGTCAGAATTCTGCAGGGAAAAGTGGAAATTTTAAAATTAAACTCAAAATACTGGGAAAAAAGTTAAAATTCTGAAATGAAAGTTAGAATTTTGGGAGAAAACCTTTTAGAAATTAAAGTCAAAGTTTTGAACTTAAAGTCAGGCTAATGGGGAAAAACTCAAAATTAGTAACATTTTTAATGTCAGAATTTAGTAAAAAGTTACAGGTTTAAAATTAAAGTGTAGTTTTTGTAAAGAGTCGGTTGTTTTAAGCAGCAGCGTCTCGTTGTGCTGCAGCAAAGCCGCATCGAGGACCGGCTGGAGCGCCTGGACGACGCCATCCACGTGCTGCGGAGCCACGCCGTGGGGCCGTCCACCGGCATGGCGAGCGCGCACGGCGACATGCACGGCCTCATCGGGGCCACGCACAACGGCGCCATGGGCGCGCTGGGCGGCGGCTACGGCACGGGGCTGCTGTCGACCAATCGGCACTCGCTAATGGTAGGAGCTGTGATGATGTCATCGCCGGTCAGGGACCACCTGCTGTGTGTCCATCTGTTTGTCTGTTCATCCGTTGTTTCTCATGTTGTCTCCATTAATAGTGAACTTTTCATTAGTTGTTTTTATCTGGACTATAAAACGCCGTGAATTCTGGGAATTTGAGTCAGAAAGGTGTGAAAATGAGTCTAAACTTTAATCTGAAACATTCTGTTCACATCAGTTCATCTCCCAGAGAACCTGCAGAAACAAACTTTATATTTAGCTGTTTCTGTCACATCATGCAGGGAAGCTTAACTTCATTTAGAGACGTGAAGAAAGACGCTGGAGGCTGAGAGGTTCAGCGGGGATGTTTTCCACATTCAGGCCCTGAAACAATAAACATGAAGAACCAAACAGCTGCGTGACATGAGGAGGAGACAGAGCCTGAAATACGGCGGCGCACTGGAAACAGATCCAGATGCACCGTCTACCTGACCCTCACCTGGTCGGTTTATCCCAGAAACGGCAAAGATTCACGGAGAGGTTTCACCTCCAGTCGGGAATAATCCCCACATGTTGCTTTTATAGCCGTTTAAAATGGAAAATCACCAATAAAATTCTGTGATTAACTGATCATCATCATTTCCCGTGTTTCCATCAACGTCTCTTCTTTCTGTTTTTGGGGCGCATTGTAAAAGGTTGATGGAAATGGGAAAATGTGAAATAATGTTCTTAATTTTGCCGAAACGTTCCAGGCCTCGGCGGCTTTTCCAGAGAAAGAGGAGATGGAAACATCTGCCGCTCTGATGGAGGAAACTTTCCCATCAGTCTGAGCCGTACCAGAGGCACACAGCTGGGAAATACTTCAGAAGAGACGCGTTTGGTCTGAGTTCGCAACTTTTACTCCTGACCGTCAGGATCTGATGGAATCAGGCTTGAAACCAGCTCGCCTGGTTCCAGCTCTTCTTCCTGCTCATGACTTCCCAAACTGACAAAACGTTGTTTTTAAGGGTATTTTCACCTTGAGACGTGAAACTGGTTTTAAAGAGGGTGTACTGTCTTTATAAGCTCCAGCTGAGAACCTGCTTCAGTTTCTGAAACGTCTCTGCTTCTCGGACAGTTTGGCTCAGAGCTCCGCTGAACGCCGCAGAGATTTAGCTTGAGAAAACAGTTGGTGTTAAGGATAATATTGTTACCAATTACTTTTTATCTTTGTGGAAGGAAATCCAAACAGTTTTAATGTGTAGCTGGTGAGAAACGAGCCTGGAGTGAGAGCCGCGTTTGCTTGTGGACTCTTTGGAGGCGTAAATGGCCGCCTGTGCTCCCGTAGAGGCCAGAGTTTGTGTTTATTCAGGGTGTGGAGTATTAGCTGCTGGAATAACATGCTCATTACCGCACAGCTGAACCTGCCGGAGGCGCCGAAATACTGAAGCTCAGTTACTCAGATCCGTTTAACGTCCAGGTCTGATCAACAGATTCATCAAATAAACGGTGGATTAATGTCAGGATAATGAAACTGAAGCTGGAGATGTTCATGAGGAAAACATCACTGTTTGTTTGTTTTGATGGTTATAAGGTTAAACTGTCTAAATTGGTCCTGAAATGTTGTATCTTTGTGTTTTTGGCCTGAAGCCGTTTCAGTGCTGCCCCCTGTGGGTTGGACAGTGGCTACTGCAGGTCACAGTGTTGGAGCAGTGATGGAGCGGAGCGATTGGTTCGTCACATAAAAGTCTTCAATAGCAGATAAAAGTCACTGAATTTGTTTCTTTTTTAATTAAAAGTTTCTAGTTTATGAAAAGTTGTTAAAGTTGTAAAGTTGGCCACAGCGCCTCTGACTCATCTGTTCAGCCCCACATTTGGCCACGCCCCTCTGTGGAGCTTAGCTCCGCCCATTTTTGTGAAATGTTTTAAACTTTGGGGGCGGGGCTAAGCTTTCACAGCAGGGTTGGTTACACTTTATAGGAGCAGTGTTATGTTTTCCAGGCATGTAGAGCCTCATCATCAAGTAACCATGTCGCCTTAATTTGGTATAAAAATATTATACATTTAAAATATGACTAATTTAATATCTTGAAATTGGGCCTCTGTCTCTTTAAGAAGCCCCTGCTCTTTCTGAAGCTCCGCCTCCAGGAAGTCAGCATATTTAACGTTTTTACCTGAGCTGCTCTGAGCAGCAGCTCCTATAATGAGCTCAGCAGCTGTTTGCTAACGGCTGCTGGCTAGTCTGAAGGAGCCGAGTGGGGAGGAGCTGTGGCTGGAGGGCGGAGCTTGGTCCACCCCGCCGTTTTGAACAGGGAATGGTTGCCATGGAGATGAAAGGATTTCTCAAACATGCATGAAAAAATCAGAATCACTGCTGGGAATAAAATAATAATGGAAGCTTTGAAATGTTGATTTTAATAGTTAACTGAGAACACATTGGGTGGTTCAATGCACACTCTGAAAGGTTTGGAGTGGCCTAGACAAAGTCCTGACTCAAATTGAAGCAAAGCGATGTGGCTCAGCCACCATGTGTTCAGAGCAGGCAGCTCTTCTGGATGGATGTTTGTCCATGAGGTAATGCGTTCAGGCTTTGTTGTTCTCTCTGTTCGCAGCGTAAACAGGAACTCTGAGAGGAAGTCGGATGTTTGAAAAAGTGACGGCATTGTGTTTGCATCAAGCCTATTTTCAGTTTTGCTCCTGCGTTTAACTCTCTCCTGCCTGCAGTTTTCCATCGTTTTTCCTGCTCCTCTGTCTCCGCACACATTGCTCTTGTTTCGCCACATATTTACTATGTGACATCTTTGCTGCGATTCGCGTTTTGATCTCCCCGTCCCGATGGACTCGGCTGGCGTTGGCTCGCTCTGTGTTCATGCGCACGCATACACACAGCTGTCTGCAGTTTGGCAGCGCCGGGGCCGAGACGCTTGCAGGCTGAGATCATAACTCTGGGAAAACAGGTGGTAAGCTGATGTGGGACTGAGACATATACAGTTCACAGCTATGAGTGCATCGTAAACACAGAAGTAGATGCATATGTCCTAACAATCAGCGAGGTCGCCTCGCTGTTCAGGCTCAAGGTTTTCGGCCTTCACAGTGAAAGCTAAAGAAGCTAACGTCAGAAAATATGAAGACAATTCACCACTTTCCTCAATCTGAGCATTTTCTGCTTGACTCTTTAGCTTATTGAAGCAGATCAAACCCCAAATGAAAAAGTGAAAACACCCTCCTTACCAACTAATCATAAAAAGAGAAAACATAAAGTCCAGTTTGTTCCAGTTTGATTGACGTCACCGTCTTCCTTTTCTGAATAAAAATAAAATTAGTAATGTGTTAACAGAACCAGACTGAGAATAAATACTCATAAAACGGAATAACATGCTCTTAAAGTTGTTTTTTAACGATGTGGGAAACTGTTTGTTATTGTCCCTTATGCTTTTTGAGCAATGTTAACATTTTCAGCAAAATAAACACATCTGGAGTAGTGATTTGGTAAATATGCTAAGATTAGCACAGCTTTTCCACATAAACATGATTTTTCATAGAGGTAAAACCTGGAATTAGCATGCTAGCTTCATAGTATCATAAGTTAAAAACTTGATCATCACTGGAAAAGGGGAAAAAACTTGACTATTATTTACTAATTGTTGAATTGTTAGCATGCTAGCCTTTGAGTTTTGCTTAAACTTTGTAAACTTTGACTACAAAAGTTCTGAGGCTGTTTCTGTTTTTAGAAAAGTTGTTCATTTTAGCAAACTACAGGCTAATGTAGCATTCTGACATAAGACCAAAGAAAAATTATTGGAAAAGAAAAATAGTTTATAACAACGACTGTAAAAGTTTCTGTCCTAGCTTAGCTTTACAGTTTGCTAACTATGCTAAACAAACATTTCATGATTGGGGAAAAAGCAGATTTCTGAGACTACTTATTGCTTTTAGCATTTTAACTTAGCTAGCATTGTCACAAAAAAGAAGAAATATAGCTGAGAATAGCTGGTATGCTAACTCAGAGCTATAGTATGCTAACTTAGAGCTATAGTATGCTAACTCAGAGCTATAGTATGCTAACTCAGAGCTATAGTATGCTAACTTAAGAGCTATAGTATGCTAACTCAGAGCTATAGTATGCTAACTCAGAGCTATAGTATGCTAACTCAGAGCTATAGTATGCTAATTCAGAGTTATAGTATGCTAACTCAGAGCTATAGTATGCTAACTCAGAGCTATAGTATGCTAACTTGAACCTACAGTATGCTAATTCAATTATAGTATGCTAACTCAGAGCTATAGTATGCTAACTCAGAGCTACAGCATGCTAACTATCATTGGCAAAAGGAGAAAAAACTATTTTTGTGTTTGCGGTTTAGAAACAAAAGATACTTTTTCTAACTTCACATAATTGTACCTACACTAAACAAATGAGTCATTATTGATAAAAGTTCAGGGATTATTGTTTCGTGTTCAATGGTTCTCTTTAAAGAACGGCAGCTATGCTAAAAGTAACTTCCTGAAAGCAGCAGCCCTGAAAGTGTTGCTTTCAGGAATGGTTTTAAATTTGATTTTATAGCTCGCTAACTATGGGAGTAAAGAACTAGTCACCATCAGAGTACATTAAGACAACATTTATTGATGTTCTTTAGGAAGGTTAAAATTAAAACGAAAAGCTGCACCAAAACCCTCAAGCAGTGAGGTTTACTAACGTGGCCTGGCTGGGGTTAATTCAGTTCTTCTAATTACTTATAAATGTGAAAACAAAAGACGTAGCTCTATGTCATACGTGAAAAACAATTTGAAAAGACTGGAGTATGTTTTAAATAATCCAGGATGTCACGCGCTGTTGGAGCCTGGGCTCATTTTTCTGGTGGTTGTGGGCACTGCGGCTTCTTTTAACTAAGTCATAATGGCTGTCTGGAAAGTCATGTTGCTCTCTGCCGCTATAAAGTCCTGCTGTTTGTTTTACTGCATAGCTGATGAGTTTGAAGGGCAACTCTGGAAAAGATGGGAAAGGTTAAGCGACTGAGACCCCCTGCTGCTCTCTGCTT